GGGGGGTCATGTTGCAGCCTGGACCCACAGAATGCACCCAGTAAAGGGATGGGAGAGGATTTACTTCATGCGGATTTTCCGGGCCATGGCACGCAGCTCGTCCTCCCGCTCCTGGAATAGAAGAGCGTTCCTGTTAACCGGCTCTAGCCCCCCCCATGTTGGCAGCCTGGCCTCCCCTCCAGCCTCACCCCCCTCCCCTACCTGTCTCTCGTGCTCCTGTTGCAGCATTTTTTCCTGCGCTGCCTTTTTATCGGCTTTAACTATTAAAAAAAACAAACCCAAAGAGTGGGGGCTGAGAGAGGGTACAGAGGCGGGGGGCGTCAGGGTGCGGTGGAAGTGGGGGGGGGCCACGGGTGCTGCTTACACTGCCGGTTCAGCGCCTTCTGCATGCGCAGCTTCAGCTTCTCCTGTGGCGTCAGTTTGGGCTGCAAACAAACCAAAAGGGCATGTGAAGGGTGGGGGGGATGGGGACGAGGACACGGTGTGAGCCACACTGGCCAGACCTGGGGAACCCCCCCCCCCCAGGCTGCCCCCCACCCCATGGCAGTCACTGGCTTCAAGTGCCAGCCTGGCCTGATCCCAGCACCACCACCTGCCTTGACACAGTGACAACTCTGAGACCGCCCCCCCCCCGGGCCCCAAGCCCCTCTACAGGGTCTGGGCATCCCTGCCCACGTTGCCAGGGGCTTTGCCACTGCCTGCACCCTGTCCCTGAGCAGCAGGGACACCCGTGGGTACTGTGGGGGACAAACGGTGGCTGTTGAGGGTGGCCTTGGATAACAGGCTGCTCCCTGCCAGAGCGCCCACAGCCCCGGGAGGTGGCACGGGCACAGCCCGAAAGCACCCAGGGTCCCCAGGGACAGGGTGGCCTGTGGACAGAGGATGGCCTGGGACGGCCCGAGGGCACGGACGGGCGGCTCATGGAACCAGGGAGGACAGCCATGCCCGGCATCCCATCGGCAGTCTGGCCAAGACACGCTGCGAGCGGGGCAAGGGGCTCCCCCAGCCCCCTGCCACCACCTCCCTGGAGCAGTGTGAGGCCCCACCGGGCACGGGGACAGTCCCCAGGTGCAAGGGCAGCCACTGGTGACAACCGGGACCCAGCAAAGCAGGGCAGGCGTCCCCCAGCCAGATTCCGGGGGTCCCTATTCCTCACCCCACCTCTCCACCACCCAGAGCTGGGACCGCCCCGAGTGGCCTGTGGCCCCACTCCCGTCTGGCGGCCGCCCCCCCCCCCCAAGCTGCAAGGAGGGAGTGGGACCGGCACCCTGTCAAGGAGCGGGGCGGACACGCAACGGGTCACGGGGGCAACCGGCGCCAAGTCCCGGCACCTCCGCCAGCCCGTCCACCACTGTGTCCCTTAGCCTGCTCTGCAGTGATGCCAATTAAACAGGTGAGGTTAAATTCTTACTGACTTTGGCAGCTCCTGTCTCTTTACCAGCAGCAGTGTCAGTCCTAAAAGCGGGAGAAAAAAAAAAAAAAAAAGAGTGTGAGGATCAATGCAGGGGCTCCTCAACACCCTGGGTGCCCCCGACCCTTCCCCTTCCTCACTTTTTCAGTTTCTCCCCCACGGCGGGCGATGCTGTGGGCCTCGGTGGTTTCTCTCGCACCGGAGACATTGATTTGCTGTAGCTCCGTGAATCGCTGGGACTTCGGCTGCTCCGGCTGCTGCTCCAGTGTCGGCTGGACCTGCCACCTCGCCGGTAGCGCTCTCCGGACCTGGAACGGCTCCTGCAGACAGGGAATCAAGGTGGAAGGGTGTTGGGGGGGGGGCACCCTAAGGGTGACTGGGACACCCCGCCCCTCCCCCCCCCCCCCCCCCC